GTTTTGGAAGCAAAAATTATATCGGAGTATTGTGCTGTCCCGGAGTCTCATTTCTTATCTAAATGTGTAGTAACAATGTGAAACTCCAAAATTTTTTCCAAACAACTCGAAAGACACCAAACGTTTTGAGGGTTTTTTCAAAAACTTAATTGCGAGATAAGATATATTGCTAGAAACTTTCGAAACTTTTGGTGTCTTTCGAGTTTTTGGAGTAATTTTTTGGAGTTTCACATTGTTACTACACATTCAGGCAAGAATTATAGTGAATTTGAGGGAAAAGTGAATAGTGAATTTGAGGGAAAAAAATGAAAAATGAACCTACATACATCCATATAAGGTTTCCATGGGCTTTGTTCCCCTTGGATACTTCATCGGATTCCTGGCGCTGTTTGGCTTGATGGGGGCATTTTGCTGGTGATCACAGCTGATGCTTCGTGGGGTTACCTGTAAAGTCTCCTGTAAAGCTATGCAGTAGCAGGAACCTCGTCTGCACTTAACAAGAGTGTACACGTCTAATCGTGGTGTTCCTTGTAAATACAAGGAAATCAGCAAAACCAACTTGCGAAAGTGAAAAATGACCTCCAAAGCCGAACAGCGCCCAGTTTCCTTATAGACTATTTCGATCAATTTCAGGTCATGGATAACGGCCATATAGCTGCTGTCACACTCTTCCAGTAATGGTTGCTGTGTTGTGATCGAGAAATTTTGTGTAAAAATGTAGATATTGTAGATATTACCCGCATGTATAAGGTTGGCCAAATTATTCAGATGATTTTCTTGTAAGTAACCCGCCACTCATGAGCTCTTCACGAGGTACAGCATCGTATGTGTGAAAAGGTGATGTCAGTGTCCCCCCCTACCTCACCATTTCTATGGTAGGTCAGAAGTCCGTAGTACCTTTTGATACTGGGTGTAAACCAAACCATTTAAAAAAAACCAAGCATTTTTTCCCTATCCTGCTTACCACCTTCCTAAATTTTCCAAAATCCCACCACTTTTTCCAGTTTTCAGGAATTTTCCAGTTCTCACCCGAAAAAAACTCTCGTCAGGCGAG